CATGAGGTGGCCAAAGTACTGGAGTTTCAGCTTCAGCATCAGTCCTTCCAATGAACACCCAGGACTGATCTCCTTCAGGATGGACTGGTTGGATCTCCTTGCAGTCCAAGGGACTCTCAAGAATCTCCAACACCATAGTTCAAAAGCATCAACTTTTCGGCACTCAGCTTTCTTCACTGTCCAACTCTCACATCCATACATGACCACTGGAAAAACCATAGCCTTGACCAGACAGAACTTTGTTGGCGAAGTAATGTCTCTGCTTTTTAATATGCTATCCAGGTTGGTCATAACTTTCCTTCCAAGGAGTAAGCATCTTTTAATTTCATGGCTGCAGTGAAGCTCCTTCAAATTATCATCTAAACCACCCTTTTCTATCATTCTGCTCTCTACTACTCATTTTAATAAAATAGAGTAAATCATTCAAGACAGAAACATGAAAATGATGATCTTATGTTGGGATTAAATGAGTCAAAACACCAAGAAAATATCTGACAAAACTCTTCAATTTTTCCTACTGTCTAAATGCCTAAAACTCTTATAAATGAGACAATCCCGGTGCTATAAAATGAGATGCTACATGTGATTTCTTTCTTCATAGGAAAAATGATCTTTTATTTCACAAGAGGAGATTAAAGGGACTATATTATGGGGTGTTGTTGTTCTATATAAATCTGCCCACTACTTCTTTAAAGTCATGAAATGTCAAGTCATACATGAAAAGTGATCCGGGTAGTTGTCTAGACACAGGTTGTACTGGGAACACTTTAGTATTACCTAGTATTTAAATATTCTCTTAGTATTTAACAAGGAGTTTTTGAGGAAATAAAAATACCCCCAAAATGTAGAGGAAATATTGAAATGACTTAGAAAAAACTTAAATTCAGAAGTTTTAAAATCCAATATGAACAGCATACATTTTATTTCAAATATTTAAGATTATCAAATGCAAATAGTTTCAAGTACAATATATAAGCAAATAATATCCATAAGTGATATATGATGATGAAATATCAGAGTTTTTAATGATTTCAAAAGTTTGTAAACTTAAGTAATCTACTTGTCACAGCTGAAGTATTAGACTCATAACTTGGGGTTGCTTGTTATATTACAGAATATAATTTAATAGGTTGTAAGATTCTAATCTAACTCAACAACTCAGCCTTTCAGCTGAATTTACCAAGCTCAGCCTATTAGGTTGGTGCCAATATTTAGATATCAGCAAATTCCTCCCAGCTAAACTGAGCTCTTCTTTTTTTTTTTTTTTTCTGTAGTTGTTATATTTTATTTTCCAAGTAATACTGATTAAAAATATTTACACACCTACTTTTTAAGTCCACAGTTTAGCACTCTTATTTGTATGGCTTTAAAAGTTATAGCACAAAATCTTTACATTAAGGATTGGGGAAAAGATTCATTCAAAACAAAGCCTGATATATTATATACATGTTTTTCTCTGTACTTTATTTTAAATACATTAATTTTTAAATGATGCTCATCTTGTTTTCATCTGGTGGTAAAATTACTAGTGCAACTTTTCATCAAAATAAAGTTTACCACAGATATAAATGAATTTTTCCAATTGAAAATGGCCCTTCAGCTGCCATTAAATGAACTTTCTCAATCTAAGTGAAAAAGAATTGGTAGCTGTCATCATAGGAAAAAAAATATAAAGTACTACAGCATCACCTACACTGCTTACAACACAAATTTTGAAAGAACTAGAGATGCTTTATAGAAGTTTAGTTGGTTTTGAAAAGGCACATGGGTGTGTGTGTGTGTGTTTTTTTAAACATTCTAGAAATTCGCCACCACCACTCTGTTTCTGTTGCAGAGATGACATCTATTACTATCCATCAGGGCAGACAAGGATGTTGTTCAAGCTAAAGGAAGCCAGAAGCCAAAATTTAACTGCACAGTAACAATGCACTTTTCTTCATGCAGTCTTGTTTCCTATATATTCAAATTTTCTAACATGCATTAGAATACATAAACTTGTATTCTAATGATTTTACATTTGATTTTACAACATGGGGGGGGGGGGGAAACTTGAGGAAGGACATGACCAGGGAAAGAGAGTAAGAACTCTTACCACAATGAAAATATACATTCATACCCAACTATATAATAAGAATATAATTCATTTTAAATTTTCTAGAAATATACTTCTCAAAGCTTCCCATTCACTTATGGGAAAGATCCCTCTTCTNACCTGTATGTTTTCGAAGATGCTCTTTAAAATGTCCAAAGTGGTCAAACTGCTTCTCACAGTACTGACATATGTGTATTTTTTTCCCAGTTCTCTGCTTCTTACTGACTCCACCTTCTTCCAGGTGGTAACAACTGAGGTGCTGTTTCCACGCGCTCTCCCGAAGATACCTTTTATTGCATATTTCACACTTGAAACTCTCAGTGGAGTGTGATTTCATGTGTTCCTTCTACCTGTTTGCTTGTGGGGTCAGATGCACAGCCGTCTTCATCTTTAATCTGCCCTTTTCTATCGCCTTGGCGGTACTTGCTGGTAATATCTGCCAACAATGCCAGAGCGGAATCATCAGAGGAACCTGTGCTCTGAATGTACTTTATGGACTGCTTGGCAGAAGCCACTTCCTCCAACGTTTCGATGCCTTCATCTTCCACTTCGATTGTGCCTTCGGCAATCTCCACCTCAATTTCAACAGGTTCAGATTCTGCAGATGGCAATGACTCAGTGATAACATTTGAAGTTTCTGCAATCTTTCTTTTTTTTGCTTCATTTTTCCCTGTGGTATTTTCCTCTAGTGGAGCTGAGTTTTCTTTGTTTCTGACTTCAAGGGCTTTGATAACTTCTAGCATCTGTAGAAACTCTGCTGCTTTCCATACATCATTGGCTTCTTCTTCTCCTTGTATCATTAACTTTGCTGTATATGTGAACTCAATCAAATGACGAAAGGCCATTTTACTAACACCTTCTATCTCCACCAAAGGTTCCTGAGTAAACTCCTGAAAGAATTTATAGAAGAACTTGCTGCAAGCAGCCAAAACAGCCTTGTGGGCCTTAAAATGGTGTCCGTCGACAATCAGGGTGATGTCAGTAAACCGGTCCTGCTCTCGCTGTTCATTCAATCGGTCCAGGATCATTTTATGATGTTCAGGGAACTCCTGAAGGCATTCCATCGTCTCTTCGGCCTCCATGGCCGTCCGGTTGCTTCTGGGAAGGAGGAGCGGCCCGGGCCTCTAAACTGAGCTCTTCTAAACAATCTTAGTCTCTCACCTCTGGACATATAGATAGACTCACCTTTGATCTCCTCACATCAATTTTGCCTTTCCCCAACCTGCTGATCTTTTCAAAATCCAAGTTTGATAATGTCACTACTCACTCACCACTCAAATTATTTTCAATTACTCTGAGAAAAAGTAAAGTGTTATGGTCTAGATTCTAGATGGTCTCACATGCTTTAATATCCTTTTATCTCTCTAACGATATCTGTCCCTGATGCCCCTTCACATTCTCAGCTTTAGTTTCACCAGCCTTCATTCTGTCCTTTAAATAAGGCAACCCTCTCTCATCACAGGACCTTTGCAGATGCTGATCTCACTGCCTAGAACATCTATTCTTTCTGGTTCTTCAAAGCCCAATTCAAATGTTACTTTCTCAGAAAAACTCCTGCTCTTATCTACCTCCCTCTCTTAGGCCATAAACCAAGTTTCCTGATACATGTTCTCTTAATACTGTTTAGCTTTCTTTCATAGCACATGGCACAGTTGCAATTACATTTATTTTTATGATTATTTGATTGCAGAGGTTTTGTTGGTTTTTGTTCACCTTTGCTTAATGCCTGGCATACTACCTGGCACCTGGAAAATCTTCAATAAATGTTCACTTAATTAATCAGAAGAAGACTTGTTTCTGTGATCGTTTCTAAAGAAGAAAACAACATTTTCATGTTGTAAGTATAGTATTAGGATCATAGGCATTCCAAAGTTTTGCAAAAAGAAAGTTCGTCTTTTGTTTGGCAGGTACAGCTTAAAGGAGATGCTGAAAAATAGGAGTTATTGCTAAAGCAAAGAAAGAAGATCCCAAGGAATCAGTTCTCCAAATTCAGGAGAACAAAAGGATACCAAGAAAGCTAAGAGTAAACCCAAGGATCTTTCCTATTACAGGCTATAAAGGTGTCATAAACAAGTCCAGAAGTAGTAGGTTAAGAAGCCTGTGAAGCAAGAAAAAGACCTATGAATGGGAGCAGAATTTGATATGCCTCATTTTAAACCAACCCTAATGAGCCTGTTGAATCAGACAGACCTGCACTGGACACTGAGGAAGTAAAGCAAATGTGGGAGCCAGGAGTGAACAGCCCTCAGATGCTGCCAATCCCAGCACCATATGCATGAGCAGCACCTGCCTCTGTTCAGCGCAGCCTTCATAAGAGTTTCATCATGTCCACAGGTGAGAGGATGCGCACCCCTTCCAACCTGAGGATCTCCATCCCAGGGAAGAGCCATGTCTCTGGATGGACTTTGGAATCTATAGGAGGCTTACAGCCTGGCACGGGGTAATACTTTTGCCCTCACTGGGGAATTATTTATGTTCTAGGAGTTCAGAGTCTGTTAAATCAGCTTTGGGCTAGCCTGAGACAATAGCCTTGGCTAAGGGGCCATGCCTTGAAACTTGTTGAAACTAAGTAATCCCAATATGGGCTTCCTTGGTGGCTCAGTGGGTAAAGAATAGACTGCCTGCAATGCAGGAGACACGGGCTCAATCCCTGGGTTGAGAAGATCCTCTGGAGAAGGAAATGGCAACCCACTCCAGTATTCTTGCCTGGGAAATCCCAGGACAGAGGAGTCTGGTGGGCTACCCCCCATGGGGTCTCAAGAGTAGACACCATCAACAACAATATAGCAGTTGCTAAGACCTCCTTCAAAAGACAGTGACATGGAAAAAGGGAGACAAAAAATACAAACTTCCAGTTATAAAATAAGGAAGTCATGGGGATATAACATACAGCATGGTGACTATAGTTAATAATATTGTATTGCATATCTGAAAACCGCTAAACAATCATGGACAAAGTGGCTTACCATTTTAGTAAACAGAGGACAATGCAGCCATCAAACCATTCGCCGCTGCAGGTACCCTCAACCATACACTTTTAAGACAATTCAGAAGAGAAAAATAGGATACCAGTCCTAGATATTTAAGAACCATATCAAACGAATCATTTCAATGAAACCAGACTCTTGCATCTTCCTCATACAAACAAATGCACTAGAATTATTAACTTGAGAGGTTTGCTTTTTGTGATTAGCAGTAATCCTTTTATGTTCCACTATATGGGCTGTGTTTTGTTTTTGTTTTTTCCCAGTAAAGAATCCCATATATCCTGACTCTTCCCTTACCTCTTTGGAACAACCCCTTAGAGTGATATGAGAGACTGCCACCCCAAACTATGAACCTCAGTAAAGCCACTGAATAAAGCACAATTTTCAACTTTCAGGTTATACATTGTTTTCAGTAGACAGAGCAAATCTTAAAATTTCTCATCACAAGAAAAACAAATTCTGTAACTATGTTATGTACAGTAAGAGACAAAACTAGACTTATTGTGGTAACCATTTGCAACATATATATAAATATTAAATCATGATGCTATATACCTTAGAATGAATATAATGTTTTAGTCAATTTTACCTCAATTTTAAAAAGGGGAGCTCCATAAAAACAAAGATGCATTTGAACTACTGAAATATTTCTAAAGAAAGGATGCAGCATTCCATATGTGAATCACAAAAATATCTCTTCTAACTGTGGCTGGTACAGTAAGAGATGAAGGAACTTCGAGAACTGAGACTGTCTGAGAGGACACTCTCGCTTTATTATTATTTTTTTTTTACCGTTTTAAAAAAATTTTTTTATTTTTTCATTTATTTTTATTAGTTGGAGGCTAATTACTTTACAATATTGCAGTGGTTTTTGTCATACATTGACATGAATCAGCCATGGATTTACATGTGTTACCCATCCCGATCCCCCCCTCCCACCTCCCTCTCCACCCGATCCCTCTGGGTCTTCCCAGTGCACCAGGCCCGAGCACTTGTCTCATGCATCCAACCTGGGCTGGTGATCTCTTTCACCCTAGATAATATACATGTTTCGATGCTGTCCTCTTGAAACATCCCACCCTCGCCTTCTCCCACAGAGTTCACAAGTCTGTTCTATATATCTGTGTCTCTTTTTCTGCTTTGCATATAGGGTTATCGTTATCATCTCTCTAAATTCCATATATATGTGTTAGTATACTGTAATGGTCTTTATCTTTCTGGCTTACTTCACTCTGTATAATGGGCTCCAGTTTCATCCATCTCATTAGAACTGATTCAAATGTATTCTTTTTAATGGCTGAGTAATATTCCATGGTGTATATGTACCACAGCTTCCTCATCCATTTGTCTACTGATGGGCATCTGGGTTGCTTCCATGTCCTGGCTATTATAAACAGTGCTGCGATGAATATTGGGGTGCACGTGTCTCTTTCAGATCTGGTTTCCTCGGTGTGTATGCCCAGAAGTGGGATTGCTGGGTCATATGGCAGTTCTATTTCCAGTTTTTTAAGAAATCTCCACACTGTTCTCCATAGCGGCTGTACTAGTTTGCATTCCCACCAAGAGTGTAAGAGGGTTCCCTTTTCTCCAGACCCTCTCCAGCATTTATTGCTTGTAGACTTTTGGATAGCAGCCATCCTGACTGGCGTGTAATGGTACCTCATTGTGGTTTTGATTTGCGTTTCTCTGATAATGAGTGATGTTGAGCATCTTTTCATGTGTTTTTTAGCCATCTGTATGTCTTCCTTGGAGAAATGTCTGTTGAGTTCTTTGGCCCATTTTTTGATTGGGTCATTTATTTTTCTGGAGTTGAGCTGGAGGAGTTGCTTGTATATTTTTGAGATTAATCCTTTGTCTGTAGCTTCATTTGCTATTATTTTCTCCCAGTCTGAGGGCTGTCTTTTCACCTTGCTTATAGTTTCCTTTGTTGTGCAAAAGCTTTTAAGTTTCATTAGGTCCCATTTGTTTATTTTTGCTTTTGTTTCTAAAATTCTGGGGTGTGGGTCATAGAGGATCCTGTTGTGATTTATGTTGGAGAGTGTTTTGCCTATGTTCTCCTCTAGGAGTTTTATAGTTTCTGGTCTTACGTTTAGATCTTTAATCCATTTTGAGTTTATTTTTGGGACACTCTCGCTTTAGATCACTACTTAAAAGAAACATTGATGCCAATAAAACAAGGACCTGAACTGCTGTTTATTAACATTTAGACTGTGACAGTCTCCTTTGAGGATAAACCTCAAAAATGGGATGTGGCAAAAGTGGGCAGAAGGCACAGGCTTAGGATGATATATTAGAGTAAAACAAACAGTTTTACATTGTCAGCCACATTTTAGTTTGCATTTCAAAATTTCAATTAAAGAAGTTAATTATCTGTGCCATCTTTGGGAAACCAGTGAGTCTCCCTGAGTCCCAGTCTCCTCAAATATAAAAAGATTATTGATCTTCATTTTGAAGGATTGTTATAAAGATAAAACTTAATGTATGTGCCTATTTAATACATAATGGATATAAACTTTCCTCTCCTCTCCACAGCCCCCATATCTATGATGACCAGGGGAAAAGGGAAGACAAAGTTTGACTCATCATTTATCTCCATCCACAATGTACAAAATGCCCTCAAGCTGGAAAGTTAAATGCATTTCCCTTTACTCACTACTCAAATCTTTATCCACATGATCTCTCTGTCTGATAACAGCTCAAGCTCATTCCAAATTCCACCTCAGTCCCTCCTTTTCTCTCTCACAAGAATATCAAAGCTCTATAGTCTCTTCATCATTCTTACATCATTCTGTGTCTCCAAATATGCCAACAAAGACATCCTCTTCTTACTGACTTAAACCTGTTCTTCTAGTTCTATTGCTTCAAATAATACTATTTCTGTCAATTTGATTCATAATATCCATATTATACCTCTTTCCTATTTCTTACTATTTTAATAAAATATACTTTCCTCTTACCCAGTAAGACCCACCACTGGGTATATAATAAAAATAACTTAAAAATTGGTGCTTTGTAAATGGTGACTTTGAGAATCCATAAGACTGGCTGGCCTTGCATGTATCAAACAGTACTCAACTGCTATTAATTAAAGGGAATTTGGATGACCTCCAAGGGAATACTTCTGAGTGAGGAGGGGGAGCATCCAGAGAGACATTCCAAGGTTCTAACATGAACTCAACAGAGAAGCAGCTCCCCACAAACTTGCCATCTCCACCCTGAAAATTTTCTGATCATTCCAGACTTATAGGGTCTTCTACCACAAGAGGTCATGCTTGCATCTATTTTACAGTATTCTATAAGTTGATTCTGCTTTTCTTTACCTGTGTCTGTATGACACTGCTTACCTAATCTGATATATTAACATTCTTAAATGAAGGGAAAAAAGCTCATGTTCTGATTAGACCACTTAAGCACCAGTCATCTCTACCCTGGGCCTAAAACTTTTTCTCCTGGCATCTCTGGGCTCTTTGGAAGTACAGAATTCTGGGTTTCCAGGGACCTCAAGGACATTTGGTTAAAGGTTTCCGCCATGGTACTATGATAGATGAAATAGTGGGCTGTCCAGTTAGTTCACTTGATAATACAGAGAGGACATCTCTATCAGGTAACTGTTCAGAGCAGCAAGTAAAAAATTCAGGCAAAGTTAAACATTGAACCTTTTTACTTGAGAAGCTAAGAACTGCATGTTTATTATAAAAGGTGGAAATGGAATCCAACTGCTCAACTCCTTTTTCCCTTGCAAGATACAACATTAAATGGAGTCAGTCTGTGTTCCAGAAACTGTCAATGAGAAGGATGTTGGAAATTATGACGAAAAAAATGACTGATGTGATATAAGACAGACTAAGAATACTAGATTAAGAGGCTTTTATTAGCCATAAGACCTTAAACATGCTTCTATGACTCAACATTTCCCTACCTTTATAATGTGGGACATGGGATAGAAAGTCTCTATGGGATTAGAGCTCTCATTACTCTCTTAAATCTATTATTTGTGATATGTCAAACAATTGAGTGATCGCAGTTCTCAGAAAAAATTAAGAAATAAGTGCATGCCATCACTTTAATGACTTTTTTTCTTGACCTTTCAATAATCTCTCATGGCCTTTGAATAATTTCTAGGTTGGCCTAAGTGAATGTTATAGGATATTCCTGTTTCCATCTTCTTCTATCCATGGTAAATAGTATTTCACCAAACTGGGAACTTCCTTAGTGGTCCAGTGGCTGAGATTCTGCGATCTCAGTGCAGAGGGCATGGGTTCAGTCCCTGGTCAGGGAGTTAGATCTCACACACTGCAATGAAAAGATGCTGCATGCCACAACTAAGACCTGGTGCACAAATAAAAAATAATATTTCACCAAACCATACAGGAGAAAGCTGTTGAGAGTAGTAATAAAAATCTTAGAAAGCATACTTTTGCCCAAACCTTTCCTCTAGTTTCCTCCTGTGTTCACCTCCTAGACTCTCTAGTCCACTCTCCCAGCGCCAGCTTCCTCTTTGTCTTTCTCAGTTAATTAACACCTCTAAAATCTCAAACAGACATTGTTTGCAAAATGGACATTGTTTCATTTCAGTTACTTGACAAATTTGTAAGTGTAGAAACTTCAAAACTATGTGTTTAGAAGTCAAAATGCCTTTTATTCATACTTTTAATTCTTCCTTTCCCTGATATAACTAAAACATCAGAAAATGCCAGTAATATTATTAGTTCTTGGTCTTATCAACCAGACTGGAAGCTTATTATGTTACTAATCAGAGGAAGAGAATGAGAAATAAAAATAGTATTTGGGAGGCATAGTAATAAATTAATTGAAATGTAAATGGGGGAGGAGAGAGAGGGAGAAATAGAGGAAGTAGAAGTACTAGAAAGGAGAAATAAAGATAAGAAGTCAAATCTAACTCAAAGGCCATATCTTCTCTGAAACTCAGGCACACAAGCGAAATAAACAACCTGCTTCCTCAGGGCTCCCTGGTATTTTTTTCTCCTTCATTTTACTAAGTGCAGAACACATTGTATACTAGTTGCCTGTGCAAGAGCTTTCTTCTACTATCATAGTTACCTTGAGGTCAAGAACCATGTCACATTCATCTTTGTAAAACCAGGGCCTGTTTATATTTAATAAACATTGAATTTAAGTGAAAATTCCAACTGACATGTGTAAATTAAAATTCCAAAGGCCACAAAGTTGAAGCTGTCACTCTGCTTGTGCTTATTCTATAGCTGCCTTGTTGAGTCAGAGACTGGGAACCTATCCTAAATTTATATTTCCTGGTACTGCTCACATCAATTAAATTCTTTGGTTCTTATTTCAATGCTCTACAAATCCTCCCCCTTGCTCAGGATTCCCAGGAAACAAGATTCATTAAGTCTTTACGGGTTGAGTATTATGTCAAGGGCTTCAACGAAGATGCAGCAGATGTTATTCCTTCTTTAGGAAACTCACAATTTAGAGAGATTGAGGGTAGAATTCAAAACATCTGTGAAATATGCATATTAATAGTGTAAATATGAAGACCATTGTTTTTCTCTCCTTCCTTCATTCCCCACTCTACATAAAATTTTATTCTCATTTGCTACCCTTCAAAGATTCTGAATTATTAATTCCCCAATCTCCACCATTCTATTTTCTGATCCTATACACTTCGGAACATCTCTAATCTGGCCACTACACATTTAAGAAGAATGTGTAGAATTGAATCATTGTCACAGACTTGAATCACGCTCCAAAATGATTTTTCAATAGGCAAAAATGAATCCCTGCCATAATAATCCCCACCCAGGGGAGCTCAAAGTGTAATACTCATTTTAGTGCTATGATTGAATAATGCCCATTTGGGTATCACAATCTAGTGATACTCATTTTCATTTTATATAAAAGTTAGAATTTGGTATTATTTAGTATTTACTATCTAGTTTTATTTAGTATTGACTCTTCAATAATGCTAAATAGACACGTGTAAGAAGGGAAGAAACTAATACAAAATATCAAAACCTGAGGAATACAAGATTTTCCAAAAAGCACCTTTGCAAACTCTTGCTTTGTCCTTTTCCAAACAGAGACAATAATATTTACATGAAGAAAACTAAGATCATGGTATCCAGTCCCATCACTTATGGGCAAATAGGTGGGGAAACAATGGAAACAGTGAGAGACTTTATTTGGGGGGGCTCCAAAATCACTGCTGATGGTGACTGCAGCCATGAAATTAAAACATGCTTGCTCCTTGGAAGGAAAGTTATGACCAACCTAGATAGCATATTAAAAAGCAGAGACATTACTTTGCCAACAAAGGTCCATCTATTCAAAGCTATGGTTTTTCCAGTAGTCATGTATGGATGTGAGAGTTGGAACATTAAGAAAGCTGAGCATTGAAGAATTGATGCTTTTGAACCGTGGTATTGGAGAAGACTCTTGAGAGTCCCAACGAGTCCACCCTAAAGGAAATCAGTCCTGAATATTCATTGGAAGAATTGATGTTAAAGCTGAAACTCCAACACTTTTGCCCATCTGATGCAAAGAACTGACTCATTTGACTAGACCCTGATGCTGGGAAAGATTGAAAGCAGGAGGAGAAGGAGACAACAGAGAATGAGATGGTTGAATGGCATCACTGACTCAATGGAAATGAGTTTGAGCAAGCTTCAGGAGTTGGTGATGGACAGGGAAGCCTGGCATGCTGCAGTCCAGGGATCAAAAAGAGTTGGACATGAGTGAGTGACTGGACTGAACTTCCATTCAATAATCTATATTCCCATTTAATCATCTTATCATATCCCTAAACTCCATTTACTTTTCCTTCCTTTTTCTTTTTTCTTTTTTTAAGGGGGCAGAACCCTCTCTCTGCAGACCTTCATTCAGCTACAGAAGAGGGGCCATGGAATTACAGAATACGGAAAACCCGTCACCACGCACACAGCTGGGTGGGAACACTTACATTGAAATCATACAGGACCCCAAAGTTGGCTGCTGACGCCTCCTCAGCCCTGGGAACCGTTTTCCTAGGTAAACTGCCATACGGCAGACCCCAGAGGTACTACATGGAGAAACAAAGAAAGCAGTTAACAATTGGAATCAAAGTCTGAGCCACACATGTGATCACAAATGGTTTTGGTTAGAATTCTTCTGAAACTTTTTCATGGGGACTCTGCGGGTCTCCATGTGGGGTCCCCTTTTCTGGGAACCGACTACTAAATCCAGAGTGCAGAACAAAGGGAACACTAAGGACCCTGCATTCTGACTGCAGCAGACCACCAGCAATCTAACCCACCACTTTGCCCAGAGGCTTGCTGAGAGCCCTACTACCCACCACCACTGCCATACTAGTCTCATTTAGGAGGTCTGGAAAGGAGAGGGGTGGCCTTTGGGGGACAATAGTTTTCAAAAATGCCATACTACCCACATAGTCAGATGGGAATATTCCTCAGGGGTTGGGGTGGTGGAGAATCTCTCCCTCATGTCAAGGAAGAGAAGAAAAAGGAGAGTCACTCATACAATTAGAGGCTGTCAACTAATAGGGGCTTCCCTGGTGGCTCAGATGGTAAGGAATCTGTCTGCAGTGCAGGCCTGGCTTCGATCCCTGGGTTGGGAAGATCCCTTGGAGAAGGGAGTGGCTACCCACTCCAGTTTTCTTGCCTAGAAAATCCCATGGACGGAGGAGCCTGGTGGGATACAGTCCACAGGGTCACAAAGCGTTTTACACGACTGAGCAACTAACACTTTCACTTCTCAGCTAGGAGGGAAGATTGTACCCTGATGGTGATGTCTGCTGCATCACTGATTCAGGTTTACTGCCCAGACCTTGTGCTACCAGATTAGAAGACATGTGATTAGGGGTGGAGGAAGTCAGTGATGGAGCAAAGCAAGGAGCAGAGCTCTAGCCCCAGCATAGGCACAAAATTGGCTAAGCAGATGCTGCTTATTATGCAACATGAAAACATCACTTCTCTGGGGCTGTGGCTGGAGGAGGAGGAAGAATGTGGATGGAAACCTAGGGGCAGAGATTGACTGGGCAACAGCTGCGAATCAGGCCCTGCTCCTTCCCTCCACACAAACTGCACAGCTTCCACAGCAGTCCTTCTGGCTTCCTGAGACAGAACAGAGCAGAGCATGGGTTCCACTCATGCTCTCTTTCCCCAGAGTTGGAGGCCACAGAAAACAGAAGATCAGGGCCTCCAGTTTGCACAGGGAGCAGGAACTTAGGGCAAAAGGGCAAATGCATCGGAGGAATGCTGAGTAAGGCTGCTGGGTGGAGGCCCCTGAAAAATCCAGCATTGTGGCTGGGAGGCAACCAGTCCTGCCCTCTGGTGGTTCTGTAAAGTCAGCAAGCAGGGAGCCCATCCTCTTCTGTTTGTTTGCTGGAGTTGGTAATCAATGCCCAGAAAACAGGATGCCTCTCAACATCTAACACAACCTGGGAAAAAAGCATCCAAAACCAATATGCTTCCTAGTTCTGGGAACATATCTCACTGAACACGTATTAGCTTCCTGCACTGCATATGAGTGCTCGGTGCTCAGTCATGTCCTACCGTTCACAGCCCCATGGACTGTAGCCTGCCAGGCTCCTCTGCCCATGGAATTTTCTAGGAAGAATACTGGAGTAGGTTGCCATTTCCTTCTCCAGAAGATCTTCCCAACCCAGGAGCATCCTACAATTTTCTATAGTTGGAATGAATTAGCAACAACCTTTTATTCCTCCACACGGAGGCAGCATGGTGTAGGGGGAAAAGAGTAAATGCAGCTGATAAGATTCCCTGTATACTCTGCATTGACACTGAGAAGCATCCTAGTAACTGGTGGTAGTTTCAGGTTTCCTTAGAGAAGAGCAAAAACAAAGTTGTGGTTAACTCGAAATAGGTGAAATACATTCTGCTGCATTGCTTAAAGTTTTTGCTTAGGATATGTACTATACTTATGACCTTAGACATCTTAGGACTTTTGATCTAAGTTCACCATCTTCTATGAGCCAGATAGTCATATAACCCCCCAAATTATCTCAAAGATTATAAAACTAGCAAAACAGGGTGCATAAGCTTGTTACATAAGACGAACACTCATTCCAGATCAGCTTTAAAAAAATAAAATAAGATAACAACCTTCTCACTCTGTGATATCAGCTAAGTCCAATCAGCATTATATGACTCAGATTCCACATTTTTAAAATGGAGAAAGAAAAACTTGACTATATTCTACTTTATAAATTTGTTGTGAGGCTCAGTGAGTAAAAGAAGTGAAAGTACTTTCCATGTTAAAAGCTGAATCTCATTAAGCAGTAAGGCACTGGTATTATTCTTGTGGGGAGGCTTGATACAAAAGCTGGCTCTGATTTGAAACCACAGGGATAAAAAACACTCAAAACAATTAGTTTTGGCCATTGCCAATGGTGTATTGAACAAATCGGCTTTTGAAACACTGATATCTGGAAAGATCCTTTGTAAGTTAAGTAAAGCCTAACCCAACTTATGTATGGTAAGCATCCAAAGAAGTCAGAGTCATTTAACTTCTTACAGTTAAGTACACAACCTCAGTCTTGTTTCTTGGTCTTAGTTAATTGGTCTTAGTATAGCCTTGACATACTCCTTTTCCCAGTCTGTTGTTCCATGCCCAGTTCTAAGTGTTGCTTCCTGACCTGCATATAGGTTTCTCAAGAGGCAAGTCGGGTGGTCTGATATTCCCATCTCTTTCAGAATTTTCCACAGTTTATTGTGATCCACACAGTCAAAGGCTTTATCATAGTAAATAAAGCAGAAATAGATGTTTTTCTGGAACTCTCTTACTTTTTTGATGATCCAGCAGATGTTGGCCATTTGATCTCTGGTTCCTGTGCCTTTTCTAAAACCAACTTGGACATCTGGAAGTTCATGATTCATGTATTGCTGAAGCTTGGCTTGGAGAATTTTGAGCATTACTTTACTAGCATGTGAAATGAGTGCAATTGTGCGATAGTTTGAGCATTCTTTGGCATTGCCTTTCTTTGGGATTGGAATGAAAACTGACCTTTTCCAGTCCTGTGGCCACTGCTGAGTTTTCCAAATTTGCTGGCATATTGAGTGTAGCACTTTAACAGCATCATCTTTTAAGATTTGAAATAACTCAACTGGAATTCCATCACCTCCATTAGCTTTGTTCGTAGTGATGCTTTCTAAGGCCCACTTGACTTCACCTTCCAGGATGTCTGGCTCTAGGTGAGTGATCACGCCATCATGATTATCTGGGTTGTGAAGATCTTTTTTGTACAGTTCCTATGTGTATTCTTGCCACCTCTTCTTAATATCTTTGCTTCTGTTAAGTCCCTACCATTTCTGTCCTTTATTGAGCCCATCTTTGCATGAAATGTTCCCTTGGTATCTTTAATTTTCTTGAAGAGATCTCTAGTCTTTCCCATTCTATTGTTTTCCTCTATTTCTTTGCATTGATCCCTGAGGAAGGCTTTCTTATTTCTCCTTACTACTCTTTGGAACTCTGCATTCAGATGCTTATATCTTTTGTTTTCTCCTCTGCTTTTTTGCAAAGTTGCATTAAGTAGTATCTTTTTCAACGCAAACTTGGCAAAATAAATACATGCAACACACAAGATGTCAAAGTCTTTCTGTTGAGCAATTAATATTAGGCACAGGGGCCACCTTGGGACTCTGATAGAATCTGTGAACATTTTCACTTAGAAATGTACATTTAAACATGCACACACATTTTATTTATTATTTCAGGAGGCCACATACTCTTCAGAGAAAAATTAAGACCTTTGGTTGATGGACACCGTTTTGAAGATTAATTTGTTACAAATACTATTACTCTAACAGCATAGGTAGCTAGATAGACAGTCTACTCTTAAAAAGAGTGGAGTTTTTTTAGTAGAGTGCTTGCATAAGAAGCTCGTTACAGCATGTTTTATAAACTAGAAGTCAGAATCTTACCTCTGGCAACATGATAAGGCTGAATGTCAGGATAAAGAGAACCATATTTACTCCATACATCCATCTCAAGAAGAGGAAGTATGAAGCCACTGATGAGCCAAACTGACCTATTAAAAAGAAAATAAAAGTTTGAGAGGGGGGCAAAACAAGACAAAAGCCAAATCTTGGTGTCTTCTAAATTGAGTTGTCTCATTGCAACACATTGATTTTTTTTTTTTCACTTTTACAGGCTCTAGCAATTTTTTTTTTCTATCCAGAAAGAGAAAATGTTAACATGATGAAAGTAGATGTGCATTCTACACAATGACTACATCTTTAGAGTCCATCTTCCCACCTTTTGCTCGGCAGCCAGAGTTGACATTTGAAGAACCCATTTTATTCTTTGAGTTAACACAGTTAAGTGAGAAAATGTATATAAACTGGTTATGTTATTGAGCCCAAGCTCATATTTCTAACCACACAACAGGCCAATAAACCAAGAGATGAGTTGTTGGGGCAAGGGATAATGACTTTAATCAGAAAGCCAGCAAACCAAGAAGATGGTGAAGTTACGCCCCCAAAGAACTATCTGGCCTGGTTTAGAATTTAGGCTTCCTTTATACTAACAGGGGAGGGGGGAAAAGTCAAACATTTCCTAGTTCCAGCTAGCTTCCAGAGGGAATGTGTTAATTTCTTCCTTCCTTTAGTCATTCATAGGTGGACCTGGTGAGAATGTTCCTCATGAGCTAAACAGAGATATTTTAGCTTAACTTTCATTACCTGGAAGGCAGGATTCCCAGAAATGGGCCATTATGTATAATTTAAACTTACAGGCAACATCCCTTTAGTGGTTAACACAACAGAACACAAAAATTCCTCCCTATTACAGTTACTGCAATGCCTGGCCAGTAGTTAGCTATCATTACAATTATAATTACTGTGCTTCTTCCTCTTTTTTCTCAAGCAACAATATTCTTCCCAAAGTTTACCACATCTTTTATGGAGAGGAGCCTGGCAGGCTACAGTCCATGATGTCACAAAGAGTTGGACATAACTGAGTGATGAACACACACACACACACACACACACACATCCTATAGACCATCCTGTGCTGTTCTGAGCAGATGGGGCATTTCATAGATAGTGTAGAAGCTGAAGTCCATTCATTCGTTTTTCACATGTTTACCTTCTGTCAGGAATTATCTTAGATATGAAACATAATATCAGAGACAGGACTGCTGCTCTAATACAACTTATGTTTTACTGAGGTGTGGAAACAAGAAATATGCAGTAATTTAAAAAGACATAAAGAATTATACACTCATCATAATATATACATTACATTATAATCATATATTTATAGAAGTATATATAATAATTTATCCAGATCAGTCCTAGAGGGAAGAAGGTAAAATACTGAGAGGGGTTGCTTTAGATGGGTTTGTAGAGGAAGGTCTGACTCTCATGTGAGCTTGGCCTCATCTTAGTAAGCAGAGGCTGAAATGAAAGAAGGTAACATTTGAGCATAGATCTGAAGTTGAAGGAACAGGCAGCAAGGCCCACAGCTGGGGAAGAGCAGCGCAAGCAGAGGAAAATGCAGGAACAAGTATCATGAGGGAAGCCAGAGCTCAGGACAATTGAGGAACAAACCTAAAGGCTTCCGGTTGGAGCACAATGAATAAAGGAAAATGGAGATGGGTGCAGATGAAGAAACCAAACCACAGTGTGTGTAGGGCCTCTTAAGGAAAGGTAAAAAGTGAGCGTTTTATTTTAAATGTGACGAAAAGTCATTGACAGGTGTTAAGCAGTGGGGGTGGGTGGGGAGACTTCAATTTAAACACTCACTTCAGGCCTAGGGAATTAATTGGGAGGGGACAGGCAAGAATGTGCTGTCAACTCACACCTTGGGGAAAGTAAAGTGATCTGTCCAATTCTTATTGACTATGAAAAACCAAACAAAAGCATTCTCTTAAATCAGAGAATGGAAAAGGAATAAAAAACTGAATTTGAGTCTCAGGTTGAAATTTCCCAGATTAATAAAAGCCAGCATTCTTTGATAATCATTTAAGATTCAATATCAAGTTGCTAGTTTCCCCAGTCTTCCTAATTTTTATTTTCATTGCCCACAAAGAACCAGGGAACACTCTCAGCTTCTCTCTGCATCAGGCCCTTTGTCCTGACTCATTCAGCAAAGCACCTCCTGGGGAACACTGCTTTCTTGGGGTCTCTAGCTTTAAAGCATTGCTGATAGGGAAGCATTATTATAGGAGGAGGGAAGTTAATGTGGAGCAAATTTCAGTCTCTGCTTACTAAGATAAAGCCAAGCTCATATGAGAGTCAGACCTCTATTTCCAGAATTTAGCCCATTCTTTAGGTACCATCTTACTTACTCTCAGAACACAGTGACAGTTTTTATAGAAACTTAAAAGGAATTCAATGTCTAAATGCATGAATGCATGTTAAATTGCTTCAGTCATGTCCAACTCTTTGCAACCTTATGTATGAATGGTAGCCCACCAGGCTTCTCTGTCCATGGAAGTTTCCAGGCAAGAATATTGGAGTGGGTTACCATGCCCTCCTCCAGTGGATCTTCTTGACTCCAGGATTGAATCCATGTGTCTTGTGTTTCCAGCATTGGTAGGCGGGTTCTTTACCACTAGCACAGCCTGGGAAGCCCCAATTGGACATTTTGTATTTGGATTCATTTCATTTTGTAGAGGGGTACTGAGTTCTACAAAACTTCTAAAAGTGTGTGCTGTTGATAAACATGCGCCCCAGGTGTTGTAACTGGATGCACTGGTCTATCTGCAGAAACGCTGGAGCAGATCCTCCTCTCCTAGGACATCTGATCATCCACCTGGCTCCCAGTGATGTCATATCATTTCATGGTCGTTATCTGTGTTCTCTGGCAACAACTACCCAAGGGCTGCCTCAGCCAGGTTCACTTATCATGTTTTATTGAAGGCAGTGGACTTCCAGCTTATTAGTCATTACAGTTACTCATTAACTGGAGAACATTTGTCTCTAGGTTTCCGTGGCAAGCTTTTCCCTGAAAACACATGTGAAACCCTCTGATATAGAGTTCTGAGCATAGGATACTGACCCATCCTTCCCTCTTTCCCTCCCTCCTTTTTTTCTTCCCTTCCTTCCTGGACTTTTATGCTTTTGCTCTTCTAATTAGCACCAGGGCCCACCCTTTCCCAGTTCCCCAAACACAATCCCTGGCAAATGAGTGTAAATATACCTAAAAGCAAAAAAGAGAAGCAAATTAAAATATTTCAAAAAATACTCCTTCCATGATATATGGGCTTCTCTGGTTGCTCAGATAGTAAAGAATTTGCCTGCAATGCAGGAGACCTGGGCTCAATCCCTGCGTCAGGAAAATCTCTTGGAGAAGGAAATGGCAACCCACTCTAGTATTCTTGCCTGGAGAATTTCACAGACAGAGGAGCCTGGCAGGCAGGCTACAGTCCATAGGGTCACAAACAGTCAGACACAACTGAGCAACTGAGGATGCACAAACACATCCGCCCTATATACAATCCATATATATTATATACATTTGACTCCAAAGCTTATAAACTCGAGTTTTTAGACTTGAAAGTGGCTTCACCACAATTTTTTTTGGAGGTAGAGAAGTGAAAACTAAGGCTTTTCTCTGCAAAATCCTAGGTATAAAGAAAATGAATTGTAGGAAAATAGATTTCATCAAAGCCAGAGTGATTGTAGGAAAGATTCAGACACTGGTCAAAGAGACTGAGGAGTCCAGAAGACAATGTTCCTTCTGTGTGATACCTACCAATGTGAGAGGAGGAAAGAACAATAACAAAACAAAGAACAAAGATCATAAAGAAGAGAAAACAAATCAATGGGTTGACATCAAAGTTCCATATGCCCTTTCCCTTTCTCAACACAAAAATGAAAAAGAAGACATTTTCCCCTCTTCATAATCATTTAGCCCAGTGGTTCTAGCCTCCCAGAGATTGTTGACTGAAACGGGCATTTCCTTAAAGAAAAGAAACCTTTCTATAGTGAAGCTAAATGAGCGTAATTAAAAGAACAGTCATTTCCATGTGCTCAGTCTCTCAAATAAAACTGACTTATTCTTGTAGAGAACAGTAATAGTAGTAGTAGCCAACATATTTTGATGGTCAGTTACATATACTGAGAATTTTACTAGCATCAATTCATTTTACTGCCTTGACAATTTGGTAAGGTTAAGTATTATTAGTGCAACTGTGTGGATGGGAAATCAAAAACAAACACAGCAGTTGACTGATCCAAGATTTTATTAATAATAATAATTGCTAAAGTTTAATGACTTTGTTCCAGACATCTATTTGATCTCTGCATATTAATTCATTTAACTATTATCAAATCCCTGCCAGGGAATCTATTGCACTCCCATTTTACAGAGACTTAACTCCATAGTTACACATCTAGTAAATGATGGAGCCAGGTTACACTGTATTTACATAAATAGTAAATGATGCAGCCAGAGTTCTAAATCAGATAGTCTTTATCTATAGGTGTTTGACTCCAAATCGACATTTCTCTTATCCACAGCGCAATATTGCTCCTCAAGTATCATCACAGTTGCATGCTAATTCACTTCATTCACGTCCAACTCTGTGCGAACTGCTGGACTGCAGCCCACCAGGCTCCTCTGTCCATGGGGATTCTCCAGGCAAGAATACTGGAGTGGTTTGTTGGGCCCTCCTCCAGGGGATCTTCCCAACCCAGGGGTCGAACCTGCAACTCTTATGTCTCCTGCATTGGCAGGCAGGTTCTTTACCACTAGTGCCACCTGGGATAATCATAGTTAAATTCATCTAAAAAATGTTTTTTTAAAAAAACTATTTTATGCTATATAGAATAAATATGCAATGGATGTGTGTGTGAGAGAATAGATATAGGTAATATCCATCAAACAGCTAAAGCTGATCAAATTTACAAATCTGGATTGTGCCCATCAATGACCAATTCCTTTCTCTTTAATCTAATGAATACATACTGTTTCATTAGTAAATTATTAATATATTTAAAGTCTTTGGTATTTATTAAAATGAAGTCTAAACCTTATGCAATATTCTTTTTCCTGAATTTTCTTGTGTATCTTTTAAATTAATGTTAAGGTTTCATATCTCCCTCTGGATATTTATTATTAAGACAGAGTGATTTGTAGTCTGTCATTGTGTATAATTTCCTCTTGAACAGATGGGTAATAAGACAAGCAGATAAATATGAGCATTTCTAAATGGGAAAAGACCAATTAAATTACCTGCTGTAAAGTACAATATAAATACCATCTTGTTAGGCAAGGATTCAGAGCACAGTTTCTTTCAAACTGATCTAGGGATGGGGAATTAAATGTGGCAAATTTAATTTACATTTTTCTGGAGCCCTTAGGCCAGCAGGGAAACTTGTAGTTTAAACTCTATGCTTAAGGTTGTCTGTCTAAAGCTATTTCTGGTCTTAAAAAAAAAAGTAGTCTATCACACCTTAATTTTTTTTTTATGCCTCCTGTTTCTGAAAACTCTCTTTTTTAAAACTTTTTATTTTGTATAGCTCGTTAACCATGCTGTGATAGTCTCAGGTGAACAGCGAAGAGACTCGGCCATACACATACATGCACCCATTCTCCCCTAAACTCCCCTCTCATCCGGGCTGCCATTTAACATTGAGTAGAGTTCCCTGTGCTATACGGTAGGTCCTTGTTAGTTACCCATTTTAGATATAGCAGTGTATACATGTCCACCCCGAATGTCCTAACTACCCCTTCCCCCCAACCATCTCCCCTGGCAACCATAAGTCTGTTCTCTAAGTCTGTATCACACTTTAACTTTGATGCTGTAATTTACTATTAGGAAGAAGTAGATTCTGAGAAAGGCTTGTAATGTCCAATGTGAAAGAATTCAATGATTTAATCCATGGTTTTCATAGTAACACAGGAGTCAAGTAGGTATAGGTTATATTTGTACTCTTGGGGTACCAATGTATAGCTTCTTCAGCAAAATATGCAATGCAATGTGGTTTGATAAGGTGCTTCTCAGCAGGTAACCACGGGGTTTTAGGCAAGGTCCTTTTCCAAGGCTGATGTAACAGTAAAACTCCATGGCATCACCATATGACACAAAACTTCACAGCAAGAATTATCAAATCTATTTTTTATATGGAGAAAGCGGAGAATCAATGAGTACCTGGCCCACTTTAGTATTGGGATCCACGACCTACTGGAATCAAAATGGAAACAGCAAGAGTTTTAGAAATTTACTTTTCCATTTCCATTTGGAAAATGTCTGCTATTTAATTTTATTCAGCATATTCATTAAAACCAAGCATATTCTAGGTCTGGGGGGTCCAGGAGTGAACAAAACAAATTTTCTGCCTTCATATCTATTGGAAGAAATGAACAAAATGAAGTGAAATGACTGTATTTTTCATTTAATTATTTTATTTTTTATTTAATAATTTATTTTTAAATTAAATGAAAAATATTGTGTTTTAGATAGTGATAAGTGTTGAGGAGAAAAATATAGCAAGAAAGGGCTGGCACAGGAATATGTGGGAGGAATTAATGAGCTGATTTATTTTATTATGTATTATGTATTCGATTAATAAGCTGATGTATTTTAATTCATTGCCATCTGATGATGAGAGACAGAGGACTGAGAGGTCCTCACTCCTAAAACATGCCCAATCTTGTCAGTGAAATATCCATCAACTGTGTTATCTCCCTATGGAGCCTCCACTTTAATTAGGCAACACCACATTTAGCCAGCAGGAAAATCTGCCCTGCTATCTGGAGGGGTATGGAGGAAAATCAGATTCTACTCAAAACTATTAGAAACCCGAATATAACAAGGCTATGCTCAAAATTATTTTAAATGTTATCCCCTTTTTAAAAATTTTCTTTTATTATTTTTAAAATGACATACTATCATATTTACAATATTTTAAAATTTTTATCTTCCTTATTCTAAGCCTAGAGCACTATAATAAATAGTTTTTGATTGAGTATATTCTCCTGCTTTCTCTGTACACTATGAACATTATACAAAATGAAGGCACAATATGATATTCAGATAGCAAGTTTCTGGATGATTATTGCTTATTCTCACTTCAGAGATTTGAAAATGATATTTTGTTTTTTTTTTAAATGATGCTTTAAGATTTCTTCACTATTTTTAGATATGGCTCATTTTAATTATTGTCTAACATCCAAGTGAATGTATATTTTCTTTTTTGATATTTCTATGAGTTTATTTTAAATTGAAGTATAATTGATTTACAATATTTCAAGTGATTATGTATTTTCAATGTCATGTTCATTTCCAAAATAAAAGCTCTGCTTTCCCAATGACATGACTCAATGTTATTGTGCACAATACTGACTTTCATGTGTAGAAGAAAATACAAGGTCAAGATGAGAATAATTTGGTCTAATGCAGAAAAGGAGAGTGGAGTCTCCAGTGCTGCAGCTAGTAAGTGCTAGCAAAGCTTTACAGTGAGCAAAGAGGACATAAAAATGTCTTTATTTGTTTGTTTTCTTGTTTTTAATCTTTTCAGTAGTACAGGACTGAGAAAACCATCTGATAAGCTTATGAGACATTTATCTAGGACAGCATTCCTCATCTAATGAGATCGAATGAGCACTTACTTTCAATTGCCTTGATTTTATTTTCCCATGGGACACAAGCAGCTTTGAAGTTCTCAAAATCTCGGAGAAATTTTGCCCATTTCTGAAAAGAAAGCCAAGTTCAACAATAAAACCCAACTGCTTGTTTGTTAAGATGTTTATCCCCCACACTCGTCCCAAAATATCACATGACAATGAGCCTGGAAAGATCTCTCTGGCATCACATAGTGCTTTTTGTAAAAGAGGAAGATGCTAGGTTTCATTTGTTTCCCTGTTCCCCACCTACTCCTGGACCAATTTAATTAAAAGAGGTTTACTGGCTTTCTGTTTTACAGAAAATATGCCAACCACTGAAAATGATCTGTTTATTCTTCTACACAATAAGAGAGCAGGGACTGAGTTAGCACCTAATAAGGTATGTATTTAATTAAATATTCATTGCATGAAGAAATTAAGGAAATATAAATAAGGCATAGTTCCTGCTTTGAAGGGCTTCTGGCTCAAGTACACTGTACAGGATGTTAAGTGCTATGACTTTTCATTCTGGTAGAGATAAAACAGTTGTCTAAATGGAAAGGCATGGTGCTATAGGAAAGGGAAGGAAGAAAAAAAAAAGAATCATAAACTAGTTTTTGTAAAAGATCTTCCTCCCACTTTATCCAACAATGTTGGGTTACCCATAAGAAGAAGAATGAGGATGGGACAGATAACTTTGCATTTGTATAGATAATGCTGGGATAATGGATGAGCTAAACAGGCATGTGGCACCTAAATAAGATTTGATACAAGCCTGAAGTTCAAAAGATTACCTAAACCAGAAACAACTCAAATGTTCATCTATAATTGAATGGATAAGTAAATTACAATATCTTCATATGATAGAATATAACATATAAATAAAAATGAACTATAACTCCCATGACATGGACATATTTCATGCAAATAACATTGCTCAAAGAAGCAAGAAACAAAAGCATAAATGCTGTATGATTACATTTATTTAAACTGTAAAAACAGATAAAATTAATCCATGATATATAAATATGTATCAGATCTACCTATAGATTTCATATTTAAGATAAATGAACTTTATTCACAAAACTCCATCTCTATTAGAACATATTTAGCCTCAGGTGGTATAACATTTGTAAAGAGGAGATAATAATGTCTACATACCTACTTTGCTGTGAGAATTAAATTTGGAAGGACTTTTATAATAAGGACTCAATTTTTATAGAAGGATTTAACTCAGTGCTTGGAACATAGTAAATGCTAAATAAATGTTAGTCTCTTTTCTATCTTTTCCAAAAATCTACATTTATATTGGCATATCATTTGTTTTCTCTTATTTACTATCCAATTTATAGTTGATGTACCTAGTAGAGAAGAGTTATATGGCTCTGTAACTTGTAGACATTTTGAGAAAGAAACCTTGATCCAGAACCACATAACTCCCAGTGAATGAAAATGAAAGGGGCACAGTCTATTACATTTGGAAGTGATAAAATCATACAAGTCAATCTTTTGCCACAAATCAATGTTTCTCAACTTATGTTTCATTTTAACTCTTTTAAAGAGCCTTTCAGGACAATTTTTTTTTTTCCTGAATCACCCCTTTCTCCAAATTTCCATAACAGAGTACTGTGTATCTAGTATAATGTACCTAAATATACACATAACATGTCAGATTTTTTTTGTCACTCTCTCAGAACAGAACCAATTTTACAACCCCTTGGAGGCAATGTGGCTTCCACAGAGTTTATATGGCATCAAACTGACTGAACTATGAAAATACTTACCTTGGCCATCATCATCTTAAATGCAAACCACCGTTTCCCTTTTCCTTTCCCAAGAGCCCCTTCATTTTCGCTCACGAATTTTTTTGCTTCCCTGAGAAAATAAAACAAAACAAAATGTGGGTGAAGGTTAATATAGTATATAGGTAGTGGATATTTAATTTTATTACGTCTACTGTTTTATTTCTCCTTGACCCTTTTAAACTCTTAACAAATGACAGAATTTCATAATCTTGGGATTTGTAAAAGATGTTTAAGTTTTAAAATTCTGGCCAAGTGTTTAAGTTTTTAAAATTTTGGCCAGGAAGAATAAGATTTTTATTTTCACTTATTAATCAGCTGGAGTCATCAAAAAGCAAGGAATTTATGCTGAACATCAAAGTAGAGAACCCCAGTTCTCATTTCTACCACATGTAAAATTGAATCTTAATTTTATTTCAGATTCTGGCAGTCAGAATGTTTATTTTAAAATACTTTCCTTCTTTTTTAAGGATTGCTTTAAAAAAAAATAGGGCAGAGAGTTTGGGACAAACTGACATAGAACACACTTATTGACCTGGCATTTAATCTCATAAAAGCAACTATGACTTAAAACAGAAAAATCATACTACATAAAGCAAAGGGCTTTAGGGAAGAGGGAAAAGGAAAGGAATAATCTTTGGCCTCACATTCTCAAAGGGTTTCAAATTTAAACCTTAACATTCTTCCCAAATATTTGTACTTTTGCAGTAGTCACATTAGTGTCATTGTGTGTGATAAAAAGCATTAACTCATCAAAATGGATAACGTGAACATGTTAAATATACTACAACTTTTATAACCTTTTTTAGTCATTTGTGCTATTGTTGTCTGTTTGCAATTTGAAAAGAATTTTACAAATAGAGGCAGTCCAGACTTGCCCTGACCTCTCAGGGGCCATAAAAGGCATAACCCAAGAGAACCAAGGGATAATCCAAACCTGGACATTAGTTCTACAAATACAACACTGTCGTCAGTTGGGTGGCCCCTCAACACATGACTACAAACTTAACACACAAAGTATTCCTTAAAAGGTGAAAGATGAAACTTCATCCTTAAGTTGATGAAGGATATTTCTGTGTTCCTCAGTATCAGTGCTAAGCTCGTGATTTTACAATACCCAGTGATCAAAACAGCACATGCCTGCTACCTTAGCCGATAACTAAACAATGGTGCCCCATTATTCACCCATACATGGACACCTACCCATAGCCTGCCATAAAAACACAAGCACAATGGAGAAGATTCTCTTCAGATGTCAGACTCCCCACATCATTTGTTTGATGCCAGGGACAATATCTTATCCTTTTTTTCTCCCACAGCACTGTTCACTACTTGGATCCTAAGAGGTGTTTAGTAAACTTATTTTCAAGTAAACTTGAAATAGACATGACTGGCATCATTCAGGTAGATGGAAACAGGGGATTGTCTAAAAACTGTATTATCCACATCAATTAATGCTCGAAAGCAAAGTCATTCCTAGACTTTGGAATCACACCCTTCTCTTTTGTCTTCTCAGAAACTAAATAGGACAGCTTCCTAGAAATGAAGAAGAGTTATTAGGCTGGCCTTGTGAAACACTCTGACATATGACAGGACTTCTGGGCTGTGAAGATTAATTGAAAAACAGTTTCTAAAACATTCTACACAGTCTAAGATGTTCAATAAAGCCATATCAACAAGTATAAACTGAACTCTCATGGGTTTTAAAAAAACTGGGTTTTTTAAAATTTTTAAATTTTAAATTTTTTAAATTTTTTAAATTAAAACTGGGTTTTAAATGCAGGCAATCAAAAACAAGCATATCCCAGTTAAGCTTTAACTATGTGTTATACAGATGACAAGACAGAAGTGGGTATGGTACCTAACAGACACTTTATAAAATGCTGAACTGATTCAAACTGAAAATCAAGTAACCTGATTTTAACCCAGTTCTGTGATTTGTCTCTATGACCTGGTCCACGTTTTTGTCACTCTCTATACCCATGCTGGGGCTTCCGTGATGGCTCAGACAGTAAAGAATCTGCCTGCAACGCAGGAGACCCAAGTTAGATTCCCTGAAGGAGGACATGGCAACCCACTTCAGTATTCTTGCCTGGAGAATTCCATGGAGAGAGGAGCCTGGCAGGCTCCAGTCTATGGGGTCACAAAGAGTCGGACACAACGAAGCAACGAACATTTTCACTTTCTTTCATTCCCATGCTGAGGAATCCTGTTTTTCAAAAGAAAGTGCACTTGCTCAGGACTTGCACACACCTGAGCAAATTCTGCACAGATTCCTTCAGTTACTGTGTAGCTTTTAACAGGTCCAGGTTTCTCAAACAAACAAACAAAAACTGAACAAATGCTTCCTGCTTGCTTGGGTGCTGGTGAAAATCTAAGGTGTGACCATAGATGTGAATGTGCTGAAGGCATTACTACACTGTCAGTTCCACTGTAACACTTGTTTTGAAACCAAGAATCTGTTCTAACATGATTGTTATACTATGGAACAACCTGAACATAACACAAACTTTGTGTTTGCTTATGTGTGATTTTTATCTACAAGAAACACTAAGTGAATGCAAAAAAAAAAAAAAAAAAAAAGTCACATCCACCTTAACCTAGAAGGGTATACACAAAATGCACACACCTCATCAACCAGCTACTTCATGACACCACATGTGTCAGAAAAGCCACATCCATTCAGAGCTGACTTACAATGACCCTCCTTCCAGGCTTTACAGTAACTCACAAACTGCAGTCTTACCATTTCCACAAGCAAACTTCAGATCTTTTTAAAGGTAAATAGCCGTATTTATTGCAGTATTTATGCATTTCTCAGCCATTTAACATGTGTAAAATATTGCTGCCATTTTCTTAAATTTCTCTTTTTAAAATATGTCACCTATGATGTTCCTGAATATTATGCCCCATTCCCATTATTCTGTAAGCCCTGTAGTTTTCACTACCCAATTTTCAAGGTGTGGTGATTTTTAGGAACCCATTCATCATGTTATAATAATTATTTGGCATCAAGAACTTTGAAATTCTTAAGACCAAGTATATGTAGGAATTATCACATCATTCTCTATTATAATAAACACATATAAATGGAGAACCAAAAATTCTTCTTAGTAGTAAAATCAAAATTTGTTTTTCAAATGTAATAAAGTGACCACTTTACAGACATACCCACAGCTCTTGATATTTAGGACATAATTAAAGAACATCAATTTAGCTTATTAGAATTATATTGCTTTCTACTTGAGTGGGCAATTAGAAAACCAGACTGCTCTAAGCAATCAGAAGTGTAAAGAAATAGCTATTCTACTCCATAAGGTTTTAAATTTTGTGAGCTGATAATTATGTTACAGGAACAGTAAACTAGCAAAATTTAAGAGATAGGGAAGTCAAGGTTATGACCAAATTGAAGTCACCAAAAAATTAATTGTAAATTAAATTATAAAATACAAAAACTTAATTACATGGCTTTCATAAGAGTTTTTAAATCAGTTATTACATACATACTTCTCCTTTGAATGATCTAAACCCAAGTTTTTATTTTTTGTCTCTTAAATCGCCAAATTCTCCCTGGTGCTAGGCGTAGTTTCATATTTCTCTTCCAGTACTATCCTACCCCACCCTCAACATACATACACATCCTGAGTTTTCAAACAAAAGTCTGGACTTCACTTCACTCCGTATAATTGCAAATATGTATTTTTTTTCTCCCTGTAGCTCAGCTGATAAAGAATTCGCCTGCAATGCAGGAGACCCCGGTTCTTTTCCTGGATTGGGAAGTTCCCCTGGAGAAGGGCATGGCAAGCCACTCTAGTATTCTGGAGAATCCCCATGGACAGGGGAGCCTGGCGGGCCACAGGCTATGGGCTTCCAAAGAGTCAGTCATGACTAGTGACCAAGCATAGCACAGTGCCCTACCCACTCCTCTATTCTCCAAGAGGTCTTCCCCAAGTTTCATAGTTTCATACCTAAGGGCTCCTTGGCCAGCCATTCTAGCTCCTCCTGCTCTCCACTGCCCACCAGGCCCAAATACCTACCAGGGGTAGTGGGCAGAGAAGAATTGTTAAGCAAGAACAGATTCTTGATCCCCCTAATCTGATGCACTTGGAGTATAAGCATTTTGCTCCTTTTGAGCACAGAAGAGGGGAAATTGAGGTGGAAGAGCTCAGAGAAAGAACAAATCTTTATATTATTTTCAGGGCTGACCTTTACAATTAGCTGGCATGATTTTAGGATGGAAGAAACTAGCATCACCCAATCCCATCCTTCCTGGTAACAGATTTCTTCACCAGAAGACAGTATCTTCTAACTGTGCTATTAGGAACAAGATACAAAAAGAAAATATCTAATATGGAGATAAAAACTGAGTGATACTTATCACACTAAAGCAGCCATAACAGATGTCAGAATGCAGGAAAGCAAACAGCAGAGTCTTTGAAAACCAAACAGCAAAAAAAAAAAAAAAATTATATTTTTCTTGTAATGAATCTATTTTCTTACCCATTTGTATTGTTCTGGATAATTTAAAGGGATTTTTCTAGCCATTTTTCATGGCTAACATGAAATAAGCTTTTGGGGATAAATTCTGAACACCTACTAGCCTCAAACCAACCAAATATCTGACTGAAAAGTGTGTGTCATCCACTTGAACTGCATTCAACAAAAGCTGCCTGCCAAGTCTGTAATCCAGTCTCCATGTCTCAGAGCTCAAAGCCCTGGTACAATATGCACAGCTCTCTGAGCTGTAACCCCAGACAGGGATAAATAATTGAGCAAGGTCTATTTAATGACAATAATACCTGGCTTCATCATTCATTTATCAACCCCTTTTGTTGGTAATTAGAATAATAAGGTTTCATGGGCGTTCAAGAATGCTTTCACAGTTAGTTGAAGGGGCACACTTTAGCCTAACTTACAAAATAGATAATTTACCCGTAACACGTGATACAACCCTGATTCCACAAGGGAGTTAGGACATGCTATGCTGCCTTTGACACATTCTCATCCCAGGAAACATGCTCCTCATTTGGGTTAGGTTAAGTTGACTTTTCTTTCCTCTTGTTTTCAGTTTGA